TTGGTTTACCATTTGGCAGGACTTGCATCAGCACTTGGCAGGAAGGCCTTGCAGGCAGTGGTCCCACCCTAAGGGTCCAGTAGGACAACAAGGAAATAAAGGAGAGCTTGGATTCCCAGGAAGACCTTGGTTCCTGGTGTATTTCCCAATACCTGGAAGAGGTTGAATCATTTTCGTATGGGCTTGTCCTGATACCCTGTCATCTAAGGAAGGTCACCCACTCCCAGGCTGTTTTTTGGATCGCCCATGTGAAGGGACCCATGATTGATTTACCACATTATACACAACGCGCTTTTCTATAGCGCATCTGGTGAGTGCGTATTTTTTACACAATATTGGCATATGCACCCATGAACTGTCTGCACACTGGGATCCTTTTACTCTATGATTTCTAGCTCATGTCATCTCACAACTCGGATGCATTCCAGGCTCATGCGTTTTGCATCATTTTCATACAGAGTTGGACTATTTTCACTTTATATGTGACTACTGTGTATCTAGGAATATAGCGTGCTGTTCATGATATTAACGATTCATTTGATACGCAATTATCTTATACCTTGATGGGGTGCGTTTTGTTTGGTCATATATTTGTTATCAACATCCCAGTTGGTTTCAATAGGTTTATATGGGTATCTTTGTAGTTTTATCCTTTCAGGTACAACGCACCTATCAAGTGTGTTCGTTTTTCATGTTATTAGCTTTTCATCCCTCATTTTAGCGCTGCACTACCTTTTTTATATTGGTTTTCCATTTTACTGAGCAGATTATAGGTAAACATTATGCTGTGATGGTGAAGAATATTAATAGTACTCATTTAAAGGTTATAAAGAAACTAATTTGTCAGACAAATGTACCCTCTTGCCTGTCATTTAAGGCCTGTGGAGGACAGAAACCATAGTCTACTGTATCTCAACAATAACCCAACTGTAGGAGGTACAAGATGGAGCCCACAACCAAGCTAAACAAACTTTTCCCCTGTAGTGCCCCTACTGGCAGATATGCATATTTCTTATTTGAGAACTGCATTAAGCAGTACAGTGGTAAAGTGTGTGCCAGGATTTGCATGTCGTCAGCTAAGAGAACTTGCAATAATTTAGGACTTAACATAAAGTCTAAGAAATCTTTCATTAAAGGTCTTTATGTTATATAGTTTGAATACCAATGTCATAGATATAATATTTAGCATTGTAAAAACATATTTCACCCTCATCTCCCCCCAATTGTTTTTTGCCCCAAACCTCTTTTTTCAGGCCTTCCCCATCTCTAGGTGTAATAAATATGCAGTACACTATGCTTGCATGATCTACAAAAGATCAGCAACTATTAAAAAGGGGTGTGAATAAAAATATCCATGAAGAAAATGGATTCAAGTTGGGAAGCAACAATATGGAATTTAGGAGAGATGGCTGCTGAACAATGTAAATATAACAAATGCAATCTGAGAAAAGCAACCCTTATTTATGAGGGCCACATGGCTCTTACGTTCAGTCAAGTGGAAGGATTTCAGAAGTAGGTTTGTATTCCTTTCATAGCATGCCATAGCTGAAAAGGACCACAAAAAAACAAAAACCCACACTGTTAGAATTATGCAACTGGTCAGCAGAGGTTACATTAACACCATGGTCTTCCTAGGCTCTTGAATCACTAGAGGAACAGATAAAACGTATTTTATGTGTCTCGCTAATTATCAGAAAATGAGTCAATAGTTATAAAGTTATTTAAAGAGCTTAATAATTTAGGTCATTTAAATCTTCAGCATATAAGAGACACCCTATGAAAAAAAAGAACTAGGATAAATGGGACATCCAAAAACCAACCATCATAAAAAAACCTATGGCATCCAGGGCTTAATGCACCAGTGTAAACAGTACATAAAGAAAAAGGGGATAACGTACATTATGAGCAAGAGGGGAATAAGAAAAAAAAAAGTGCTATAACCAATATGAGTGTATCTCACATATTACCTAAATCATTATAGGAAACTCAGGGCCTTTCCTCTGAAAAAAACAGAGTACTACAAGGTGAGGTAAGAAGAATCATCAGGTGTCAATGTAAACCGAGGTCTAATGAGACATTAGCGGATGTGCTAGAATTCATTTTCATATATTTTACTAGTAGAGCTCTTTCAAAAGCGAGTGGAAAGGTACAAAAAGGTAAGTAGGCAGCAATGAGATATGAATAGCACTTAAAATTCAGTTGTCAATTAATGGGCAATGCCAAGTTAGTAAAAACTGCTAACACTATATAGGGAACACTGCAATTGTGCCTGCAATTTATAACATTTGCTCACTTTATCTTAATGCAAGTTCTACAATATTTAGTGCAGCCAGATCAATTGGGCTTTTGGTTAGGGCTGTAGCTTTAAAAACACACATAGAATGAAGCACTTTTACTGTGCATCGTCCGTATGTGGGTTCAGTGAAAAAGATTGGTGCAAGATTTATTAATGTGCCATTGTGGTTTTCAAACCCTAAAAATTCTAAGTCATTCATGAGATGGGCGTTTGTTTTAGACTATGGGGCAAACACATAAGCAAGGCAAACCTCTGACAGGTAGGCCCTGTCACTTTCAATAAATTTCATTTTATTCCGCTTTTACATTTACGTGCCAAGATATACTGAAGTACAGAATATATATATATAGACATGCAGCAAAATGTACAGCACTGCAAAAATAACAGAAGGGGGGAAAATGTTATATAAATAATATGCTGCTTTTGTGGATATGTTCAACAGGTTAAAAGGAACTACAAAATAAAGGTCAGCTGTAAAATATCTATATCTTAAATTATGGCTGAACTACTAATTTCATACAACAAAGCTGGGTCTTTCCATTACAAATTATTTTACATTTCTTTTAAAAACGTTAAAAAGAAAAAAAAAGGGGGAATATTCGTGCCTTTATAAAATATGCCAAAAACAACAAATGTAAAATTGTTACTATTTAGGCACACTAAATCAACTACTTACATATTAGGATGTATTTTATTTGCAGGGGACATATGCACTAATACAATCAGTACTTTAAAAAGGAATATGCTTCTTTCAGTTGGAAAAAAAAGCAAAAATATTGTTACAAATGCCATGTTGCATTTTCATTAATTTGTTTCAGTATTAATCGGCAGCGAGCCATGAAGAAATATTGAAAAAATTATGAATAAGAGCCATGTTGCTTGGAAGGGATATCTTGTTTAAACAAATCAGTGCAGTACTTAAACAGTATTTAGTAGCATATATAAAAAGAACCTGCCCCAACTGGTGGATGGATGGAGCTGCAGGATTAAATCCGGAGCTGTCATTGTACCACTACACCCCCAGATGTGAGATATAAACAGATGCGCTGATTTGTTTGCGGTCTGGTGAGTGTACATCCATCCGAGGCGGTGGATTCCCTTCATGAATAACTGCACGTTTGCACTTGCACACTTGGAATAATTAAAATATTATAAAGGACATTAGCAGTTTTTACTGCCTGCTTTGCGATATTGATGGTCGTCACGGACTTTCATTGATTAGTTCAGTTGCACTATTCACGCACTTTATGTATTTGAGTATAAGATATTTATGTTTCATGCGTTTACAGCGCTGCACTTTTATTATATAATTATTTAGTGGCAGGATCTTTATTTTTGTCCTTACCATAACGTGACCTTACTCCACAAAGCCATGGTGCTCATTTTTTTGCACTGACAAGAGCTAACAAACCTTTCAAGTTGAATAAAAATGGCTCTACATTTTAGGTAATTTCTGAGCTAGGCAAGGGGGAACAGCTGCATGTGCAATGTACATCTGACTCTGTGCCTTTGGCCATTTGTATAGTGCCATTGCGTCAGGAATGACTCATGGTGTCTTTTTGGAGTTCTATAAACCAGTGCCTCTAAATTCAGATGACCACTGTCACAAAAGCATGCTTTCCATGGTACCAGCCACTAACCATAAGAGAGCACTAAGCACTGTGTATTTTATGACATATAAATACTTTATTTAATGCCATACTTGCGTCTACTTTAATATGTAAAACTTGGTTATATGGAGCACTTGAGTAAAACTATGGCCACCTATTAAAATTTGAACTGAAGCACTTAAGTGAATCAGCACTTGCAGGTCTCTCTTCATCCTTCAGTTCCAAATACCTGTGGATCCTTCAGTCCATCCAATGCAGCTTCCTGTGATGGGGTAGGAACAATGCTGCATTGCTTCTGAATCAGAGCAGAGTTGTAATTCTCATGTTGGCTGTGTCTCCTCACACTACATTGGCATGACAATATGTTGTAGGGGCTGTGATGATGAGCACTGCCATGCAACACCTAGTCCTGCCCCACTTATTTCTGGATTGACAGCACTACCTTTGTTTCTGAAACCTTCCCACTCTGAATTGAAGTTTTCCTAATTTGAAAAGACAAATGAAGGAGGATTTGTCCTAGTAAGGTGACGGTAAGGACGTTTTTGTTCACATTAAGAAATTTGCACATCAGTGACTAGATTTGGTACTTGTTTATACTATCATACAGGTGCATTTATTTTTTATCTTAAAAAGGAAACCCATTTACAAAACTTAAAAAAAAAAAATTAGCCTTATTTCCTTTTCATTTGTATGTTTTGCAGCATTGCAAAAGAAAGAAAACATTTTAACTGGAACCAAATTCCACTCCATGGTTTACAAGTTGTGTGAAAAGAGAATATTTCTGAACCTTCGAGACAAAATGGTTAAACAAAATTTAAACCGAGCATACAGAAAACAAATATTATAATACAGCAATATGTTATTGATAACTGCTTGGCATATGAGACTATGTGTGCCTGTTATAGTTCCTGTTAGAAGCATCATGCATTATATAACTACAGGTGTGCGTTTATAGGTTTAGACTACAGAAATCCCAACATGAGTCCACTCACTTGTACGTGTTACAAAAATGTGTGTGTGTGTACTGTAACTATTTTATGCAATGTAGAATAGAGAAAAAACAAAAAAAAAACAAAACAAAAAAAGGCACATACTCTATCTGCCCTCCACTGGACACAAGGGCCTTAAGGCAGTCCATACTACCAGCCCTTGCTGCTTTGTGCACAGGGGTCTCCCCTACGTAGTCCTAGAAAACAGAAATCAAAGAAGTCTGTATTTAGTGGCAATTTAAATATAAACATGGCAAAATCATTAGGTACACAAATAAACAGAAATAAAAAATAAATCAATCTCAACTATTACTTTAGATTATGTTTGAGGGTGTTGCAGGTAGGATGTGTGCAAATTTATACTTGCTACCACTTACCACCATATTTAAAATGGTAAACGTTGCTCTTTAGCAGTCAGCCATTCTCAACCCTAGGGTTCCTTGAGATGTGACTTGCCATTTGACAGTGCCTGCAAAAATTCCGTTAACAATGCCACTTGGCATAACACCGATGATCTTTTCTGCTATCTGTAAAGGTGGCATTCTGACCACCGCTATAAGGGAATTTCTTACATAGTTAGTCTGGCTGAAAAAAAGGACACAAGTCCATCTGGTTCAACCATAAAAAAAAAAAAAAAAAAAAAAAAAGGGGAAGGGGGGGGGAGTTTGGTTGTTGTAATCCTATATACACACAATCCTATACCCACAGTTGATACCCAGAGAAAGGCAAAAAAAAAAAAAAAAAAAACCCTCAAAGCTTCTGCAGGGGAAAATCCTTCCTGATCCTCCAAGAGGCAATTGGATATTCCCTGGATCACCTTTACCTATAATTGTTAGTATCCAGTTATATTATGTGTGTATGTATATATATAAAGAATCCAGGCTTTTTTTTTTTTTTTTTTTTTTAAAGCAATCTACTGAGCTGGCCAGAACCAACTCTTGAGGGAGACTACGACACATTTCACAGCTCTTACTGTGAAGAAACCTTTCCATATTTGGAGATTAAATCTCTTTTCCTCCAGACGTATAGTTACATGACTTACCACAGATTACCTACAGTGTATAAAGGGGCATTTTTCTCCACTGACCCTCTATGAATTGGTTTTAACAGGGGTTCCCTATAACCTGAAAATTTCAAGGGTTCATATAGAGCAGGGTTTCATGGAACCCTAGGATCTCTCCAGGAGGTTGCTAGGGGTTCCGTGAGCAACAAGCAATTTCGGCCTCTCAGATTAGTTCCTGCTGAAACCACTGATCTTTTTAGCCATCTGTAAGGGGGTTATTTATCCCAATGTCCAGAAGTGTAAGAAGCATTTTTCCCACTGACCATCACACTAATGTATTGTGAGTTATCAATATAGTAATTTTCAGCACTTAGAGGATCAGTTTCAGTATTCTGCATTGCAGTGTTACACAATGGCACAATGAAATCTATGAGGCAAAGTCAAATAAAAAGCTCCTACTAGTTCATTTACAAATCTCTAGATTAAATAGAGCAAAAAATAGTCAGCATTTAAAAATGACTACAATAGCTCAAAATCAGTACTTAACCCACTTGCCTACTGGGCATTTATACCCCCTTTGTGCCCAGGCCAATTTTCAGCCTTCAGCGCTGTCGCACTTTGAATGACAATTGCGCGGTCATGCAACATTGTACCGATATTAAATTTTTAGCATTTTTTTTTCCCACACACAGCTTTTTTTTGGTGGAATTTAATCACCAGTGGGTTTTTTTTTTTTTTTTTACACTCAAACAAAAAAAAAAGCAAAAAAATTTGAAACAAAAAAAAAAAAAGTTTTTCTTTGTTTCTATTATAAAGTTTTGCAAACAGGTAATTTTTCTCCTTCACTGATGTGCATTGATGAAGCAGCACGGATAGGAAGCACTGATGGGCATTGATGATGCTGCATTGACTGGTGACAACTGCTGGGCGGTACTGCAGGGCACTGATGATCACAGCCGATCTGCTCTGTGACAGCTGCCGGTTATAGGCAGTACTTTCCTCATGCTGTGACAGCGTGAGGAAAGTTCTGCCGATAACCAGCAACTGTATTTACTCCATTATCTGCTGTGTCATTGGACACAGCGAACACAGATTGCCGGGCGCGTTCTGGGAGGATGTCTTATGACTCCCACCCAGAACTGGGTAACCGCACTATAGCTGTCATAAAGCTATAGCTCGGTTACCAAGTGGTTAATAAAAACATAGTAAACTTTCATTTAATGTTGTTGTCTAGGCCATCATCTTTGTTATTTGTGGACCAAATAGTGAGCAATTGTAGGGAGCACATGCTAGTACTGAGAGACAGAAAATCTGATGTTGTAGCTTTGTGTGCTCTCTTCCAGCCTGCCTGTCCTCATCTCCTATCAGAGTGGAAGGACTGTAGGGAGAAAGGAGGTGGTAGGCTGGAGCACACAGCCTAAACTGACAGTGCTAGATTATTTCCATCTCTCAGTATGGACAACCAGTCACTACACTTGCTGGTTATATAGGGCATGAATAACCAGCAATATTGGGATCTATGCCCATCATGATGTCACTACTATGAAGGCAGCCTTGTTTGCCAAAGCACACCAGAAGAGATAGTATAAAATGAATGCATGTAATTCTGTACAGAAAGGCCATCAGTACATGAGCATGTAGTGTTACAGAAGCAGGAAACGGAGAAGCCCAGAGAAAAAGCTGTAGATGAGAGCCACTCAAGCTTTAAAATATCAGGGACAACAGAGTTTTATATATTTGGGTAGACTGGGGAAATGGAAGTACCCCAGTCAGATGGCTTTTTTCCCTGCTGCCTCTCCCAGCTTACAAATCATGGTTAGTCCAATGAAGAGAAATCTTCAAAAAGGGAAACACTTTTCAATTTAAAAAAAAATAGACTGCCTTTTCAAAGTTTACCATAAATAAAATTTATGATCTTTTTAGACATATTATATTGCCAAAAGTATTAGGACACTCTTCCAAATCATTGGATCCAGGCATTCCAATCAACTCCATGGCCACAGGTGTTTAAAATCAAGCACCTAGGCATGCAGACTGCTTCTACAAACATTTGTAAAAGAATGGGTCGCTCTCAGCTCTGAACTTTAGGGGGTGTGGTACCGTGATAGGCAGCCACCTGTGCAATAAGTCCATTTGTGACATTTCCTTGCTAATAAATATTCCACGGACAACTGTTAGCGGGTTTATGATAAAGTGGAAGAAACTGGGAACAGCAAATCCCACCAAGTGGTAGGCCCTCGTAAAGCGACAGAGTAGGGTCAGCGCATGCTGAAGCGCACAGAAGTCGCCAACTGTTTGCAGAGTCAATAGCTAAAGCCCTCCAAACTTCATGTGCTCTTCAGATCAGCACAACAACAGTGCATAGAGAGCTTCATGGAATGGGTTTCCATGGCCGAGTAGCTGCATCCAAGCCTTGCATCACCAAGTGCAAAATGTAGGATGCAGTGGTGTGTGAAGCAACTGCCACTGGACTCTAGAGCAGTGGAGACATGTTCTCTGTTGTGATGAATCACGCTTCTCTGTTTGGCAATCTGATCACCGTGTCTGGGTTTGGCGGTTGCCAGGAGACCGGTACTTTCTTGACTGCACTGTACCAAGTGTAAAGTTTCGTGGAGGGGGGATTATGGTGTGGGGTTGTTTTTCAGGGGTCTGGCTTGGCCCCTTAGTTACAGTGAAAGAAATGGCCCCTTCTTGTTTCCAACATGAACATGCGCATCTGCGCATCAGTGCACAAAGCAAGGTCCATAAAGACATGGATGAACAAGCTTGGGGTGGAGTAACTTGACTGGTCTGCACAGAGCCCTGACCTCAACCAGATAGATCACCTTTGGGATGAATTAGAGCAGAGACTGCAAGTCAGGCCTTCCCGTCTGACATCAGTGCCTGACCTCACAAAATGCGCCTCTGGAAGAATGGTCAAACACTCCCATAGAGACACTCCTAATCCTTGCAGACAGCCTTCCCAGAAGAGTTGAAGTTATATACAGTGGGGATCAAAAGTTTGGGCACCCAGCTAAAAATTTGTATTAATGTGCATAAAGAAGCCAAGGAAAGATGGAAAAATCTCCAAAAGGCATCAAATTACAGATTGGACATTCTTATAAATATGTCAACAAAAGTTAGATTTTATTTCCATCATTTACACTTTCAAAATAACAGAAAACAAAAAAAATGGCGTCTGCAAAAGTTTGGGCACCCTGCAGAGTTAATAACTTGTACTGCCCCCTTTGGCAAGTATCACACCTTGTAACTCTTTTTGTAGCCAGCCAAGAGTCTTTCAATTCTTGTTTGAGGTATCTTTGCCCATTCTTCCTTACAAAAGTCTTCCAGTTCTTTGAGATTTCTGGGCTGTCTGTCATGCAAAATGCACTGCTCTTTTAAGGTCTATCCAGAGATTTTCAATTATGTTGAGGTCAGGAGATTGTGAAGGCCATGGCAAAACCTTCAGTTTACGCCTCTTGATGTAATCCCCCGTGGATATCGAGGTGTGTTTAGGATCATTATCCATTTGTAGAAGCCATCCTCTCTTTAACTTCAGCTTTTTCACAGATGGCATCAAGTTACCATCCAAAATTTGCTGACATTTTAATGAATCCATTTTTCCTTCTACTCGTGAGATGTTCCCTGTGCCACTGGCTGCAACACAACCTCAATGCATGATTGATCCAACCCCATGCTTAACAGTTGGACAGAGGTTCTTTTCATTAAATTCTGTGCCCCTTCTTCTCCAAACGTACCTTTGCTCATTCCGGCCAAAAAAGTTAAATTTTAACCTCATCGGTCCACAGAACTTGTTTCCAAAATGCATCAGGTTTGTCTATATGTTCATTTGCAAAGTTCAAACGATGATTTTTGTGGTGAGGACGTAGAAGGGGTTTTTTTCTGATGACTCTTCCATGAAGACCATATTTGTACAAGTATCTCTTTATAGTGGAATAGTGTACCACAACTCCAGTGTCTGCCAGATCTTTCTGGAGGGATCGTGCAGTCAAACGTGGGTTTTGAATTGTTTTTCTCACAGTCCTGCGAGCTGTTCTGTCTGATATTTTTCTTGGTCTTCCAGATCTTGCTTTAACTTCCACTGTTCCTGATGACTACCATTTCTTAATTACATTCCGAACAGAGGATATTGACATCTGAAAACGCTTTGCTGTCTTCTTATAGCCTTCTCCAGCTTTGTGAGCGTCAACTATTTTCAGTTTCAGTTTTCTAGACAACTGCTTAGAAGAACCCATGGTGCTGATTGTTGGGGCAAGGTCAGATGAGTCTGGGCATTTAAAAACCTTTGAGATTGACATAACCTGGTCTTCCCAGATGATGATTGAGAACAATCCATGACACTGGCAGGTCTCAGCTTTGCAAAGGGGGCAGTGCATGGTATAAATTTCTGCAGGGTGCCCAAACTTTTGCAGACGCCAATTTTTTTTGTTTTCTGTTATTTTGAAAGTGTAAATGATGGAAATAAAATGTAACTTTTGTTGACATATTATAAGAATGTCTAATCTGTAATTTGATGCCTTTTGGAGATTTTTCCATCTTTCCTTGGCTTCTTTATGCACATTAATACAAATTTTTTAGCTGGGGTGCCCAAACTTTCGATCCCCACTGTAGCTGCAAAGGGTGGGCCAACTCAATGTTGAACCTTACGGTCTAAGACTGGGATGCCATTAAAGTTCATGTGTGTGTAAAGGCAGGCATCCCAATACTTTGGCAATATAGTGTATTTGTGGAGTTGGTCCAAGTCAAAACTGGCCTTGTATTAATGTTTATACATCAGGAGAAAATTACATTGTTAAATGGGTATGGGCTGTGGTGGTTGGGCAAAACTGGGAACAACTTTTAGCAGACATTAGGAAACGTGCTTGTGAATCCACCTTTAAACAACTACACAATATCAAATGAACAGTTTAAGGTGGGACTAGCCTGTAAAAAGTACCAAGTATTGGGTTTATTCATATTCAAGAGACCTTACATGCAAGGAGCAGTAATATCACAGTTTTAAGTGTTGCAGATCTCTCAACATGGATTATTTTAACAAACATTTTGCATGCAGTTTCCATATGAACTTCCTGTAATGAGGGTTTCTACTCATTTTGGGAATGCTGAGCTTCACAACTGTCAGTTAACTTCAAGAGAACCACAGTGATTAAGCAAAGCTGAAAATGTCCCATAGATCCCCTAATTATATGTTTAGGCAAAATTTTAAAACTCGGGTTTACACAGTTGTAGCTTGATATCACTACACAGGTGATTCGTCTGCAGTTTTTAAAAGCAGAACTTTACCCATAATAGTTTGATAATTAATGTTCTTTTACAAAAGAACATACATGCTACATTAATAAATATGCTATGAAAAAGTGTGCTGTAAATTGCCCCCAGCATTGCTTCGGTTTCCTCTTGCTGTAGGCTGCCATTCTGCTGAAGCCCAGAGCGGTAAGTTAATTAATGGAAACTCTCCCCTCTCCTTGGTTATGTGAGCATAAAATAGTTGGAAGGGACAAGGGAATGCCAAAAATCATATTACACTAAGGACAGTTGCCAGCCATACAAACTTTCATATTTGGGGTGGATCTCCAATATACAGTCAGGTCCATAAATATTGGGACATCGACACAATTCTAACATTTTTGGCTCTATACACCACCACAATGGATTTGAAATGAAACAAACAAGATGTGCTTTAACTGCAGACTGTCAGCTTTAATTTGAGGGTATTTACATCCAAATCAGGTGAACGGTGTAGGAATTACAACAGTTTGCATATGTGCCTCCCACTTGTTAAGGGACCAAAAGTAATGGGACAATTGGCTTCTCAGCCGTTCCATGGCCAGGTGTGTGTTATTTCCTCATTATCCCAATTACAATGAGCAGATACAAGGTCCAGAGTTCATTTCAAGTGTGCTATTTGCATTTGGAATCTGTTGCTGTCAACTCTCAAGATGAGATCCAAAGAGCTGTCACTATCAGTGAAGCAAGCCATCATTAGGCTGAAAAAACAAAACAAACCCATCAGAGAGATAGCAAAAACATTAGGCGTGGCCAAAACAACTGTTTGGAAACATCCTTAAACAGAAGGAACGCATCGTTGAGCTCAGCAACACCAAAAGACCCGGAAAAAGAAACAACTGTGGTGGAATTCTTTCCCTGGTGAAGAAAACACCCTTCACAACAGTTGGCCAGATCAAGAACACTCTCCAGGAGGTAGGTGTATGTGTGTCAAAGTCAATAATCAAGAGAAGACTTCACCAGAGTGAATACAGAAGGTTCACCACAAGATGTAAACCATTGGTGAGCCTCAAAAACAGGAAGGCCAGATTAGAGTTTGCCAAACGACATCTAAAAAAGCCTTCAAAGTTCTGGAACAACATCCTATGGACAGATGAGACCAAGATCAACTTGTACCAGAGTGATGGGAAGAGAAGAGTATGGAGAAGGAAAGGAACTGCTCATGATCCTAAGCATACCACCTCATCAGTGAAGCATGGTGGTGGTAGTGTCATGGCGTGGGCATGTATGGCTGCCAATGGAACTGGTTCTCTTGTATTTATTGATGATGTGACTGCTGAGAAAAGCAGCAGGATGAATTCTAAAGTGTTTCGGGCAATATTATCTGCTCATATTCAGCCAAATGCTTCAGAACTCATTGGACGCCGCTTCACAGTGCAGATGGACAATGACCCAAAGCATACTGCAAAAGCAACCAAAGAGTTTTTTAAGGGAAAGAAGTGGAATATTATGCAATGGCCAAGTCAATCACCTGACCTGAATCTGATTGAGCATGCATTTCACTTGCTGAAGACAAAACTGAAGGGAAAATGCCCCAAGAACAAGCAGGAACTGAAGACAGTTGCAGTAGAGGCCTGGCAGAGCATCCCCAGGGATGAAACCCAGCGTCTGGTGACGTCTATGCGTTCCAGACTTCAGGCTGTAATTGACTGCAAAGGATTTGCAACCAAGTATTAAAAAGTGAAAGTTTGATTTATGATTATTATTCTGTCCCATTACTTTTGGTTCCTTAATAAGTGGGAGGCACATATGCAAACTGTTGTACTTCCTACACCGTTCACCTGATTTGGATGTAAATACCCTCAAATTAAAGCTGACAGTCTGCAGTTAAAGCACATCTTGTTCGTTTCATTTCAAATCCATTGTGGTGGTGCATAGAGCCAAAAATGTTAGAATTGTGTTGATGTCCCAATATTTATGGACCTGACTGTATGTGCAATAAATTAGTAAACGCTCAAATTCTACATACCTCACATCGTCTTACCTGTTTATTTACATTAGCACCTGCCTGAATAAGCCACATAAGGCAGTGAGGATGCCCTCCAAAAGCAGCAATGTGCGCTGGTGTTTGAGCAAACCGAGTTGTGCTGGCATTAACAGAGCAACCTGCTCCAACCAACTGGACCAGACACTCCAACTGTGAAAATGAGGAACAACATTAATTCAGATAGAAAGATCAGAAAGTCTGTGCCATCATAAATTAATCCATACTCAACTGATTGTTCATTAAAGCAGCGTTCCACCCAAAAGGGGAAGTTCCGCTTTAAAGATTGGTCCCCCGCTCCTCATTAAGAACTGGCATCTTTGGGGAGCAGGGGTGGAATTGTGGGGAAATGGGTACCCGAATTTGACAGATACTCGCTCCCACTTCCGCTGCGATCGCCTTGGCGATCGGAAATGGAAGTTGTCCTCCTACCCCGAAGTCTTGTGGGACACGCGATAGGTCCCAGAAGACGACGGGGCCATTCAGGAAGCGCAGCGCTATCACAGACGAGTGGCCACACTAAAGATGCCAGCACCTGAAATACAGGACAGCCGGTGAAATGGGCTGCGGTGGAGGCAACGCGGGATTGTGGGACAGGTGAGTGGAACTCTGCTTTTGTACAGCAACAAGTGTAGTATTTTGTTTTTTGTTTCTTCATGATTAAAGGATAAGTTCACCTTTCATAAAATGGTTACAACCTGAATATGGGTGTAACATGTAAAGAATGGACCGGCCTCCGCTCCCCCACTTTGACAGCTAGCAGGGGATCTTCTCCCACTAGCTGCCAAAATTCCTTGCATCACTCAATCACAGTCCTGTGTGAATGAGAAAACCTGAAATCCTGATAGCCTTAGCGGCTGTTGGCTTGTAGTTCTCAATGAATTACCACAGCACTGTTGAGCGCTGTGGCAATTTGATTCTTCCTGTCAGTATATCTGCTTACCTGTATGGGCAAGCAGACATACTGACAGGTCTGCAGGAGACCTGCATGGCACCAGTAATCTGCTGATCACTGGTGCAATGCTTTCCAGGTCCATGCAACAAAAAAATAATAAATTCACATTTTTTTACTTGCAAAAAAATTGCATATATTATTTTTTGTTAAAAGGCAAAAACTTACCCTTTGAATAAGAATAGGAAAACTTGTTTGATAGAGTAAAGGAGGGTTATAACCCATGACAGTTTATTTTGTCATCCATGTCCCATTGGGGAGATTTCCCTTCACTTCCTATCCCATAGCCAAAGCAGGAAGGGAGAAAAAAATCCCTGCAAATTAGGGGAATCTCTTGGGGACCCCCAGCTCACCAGAATTAGTGCCCCCATTGGAAGATTTCCCCTTGATTACTTTTATGGGGACAACCAAAAAATTTGTGATTTTCTTTTACTTTCAACCTTGACAGGAAACAGGACAAAACTAGAGGGCGAATCTCCCCAACAAGGGCACAGACAGCAAAACCTTGCAGTGTTCTAATCCCTCTCCACTCTTATCCAAAACTAAAGTAAAAAAAAAAAGTTTTACCTTTAGTAATACTTTACCATTATCAAAGTCTTGTATCTATGAACAATTCTATACATTATTTCCTGACACTAAAGGATGGTACACACAGATTGAAATTCAGCTGGTTCAGCAGGGACTTACGTCTGTGTTTGGCACTCCCTGTTCAACAGAAGTCTATTGGTAGATCGACTTCTGTCAAATGGCCACCCATCGATAAGTACCTGCAGCCCCCACTGTCAGAATACAATGTTGCAGCGAGGAGGATTCCTGCATCCACCTCACTTGTGTTGGTAGTGGGTTATTTTTTTTCTTTTTTATGAGCTGATAAAAAAGAAAAAAAAAAAAACACTAAGCATGCTCATTAATAAGCTCCCAGCTTTCAAACGGACAGCCCATATGGAGGTACAGGCTGAAAGCTGTAGGACTTGTCTGCAGAAGCCTGATCACTGCTCTCCTGATCCACTGATCATGGGTGCAATGCTTTCCACGACCCTACAGCAAAAAAAAATCATAAGTCCACATTTCTTTCCTGTAAAAATATGTGCCTGTATTATTTTTTCCCAAAAGGTGAACTTACTCTTTAATTAAAAGCTTATAAGAACATGGATTACATTTTACAACATTTGTAGGCAGCACAAAACCAGGTACTGGAAAGACACAAGGTTATTACATAGATGGCATTGTTTTACCTGTCAAACAATGTTTCTGTGCACCTTCCCCATTCCTTCCTCCAGCACAGGAGAATAACACCACGTATGGCTTTGAAATACAGTATATATGGAAGTCAGGACCACTTTGTTCCTGCTAGTGGCCTCTCTAGTGATGTATCCAACAATTCTATCAATTTTTCCCACTGTTTGCGCTATAGTGGAAACATTTGAAGTTAGAATTGATGTGTGTATTGCCATTAGAGAAAAACTCATCTCTAGCCAGGGTGGATAAAAATCAATGATTTTTAAAGGAATAAAAAAAAAAAAAAAAAAAAAAAAAAAAAAAAAAAAAAAAAAAAAAAAATCGATTTTTAATTTAAATCGGATTTTTTAAAATAAAATGCTTTTTGAGGAAAATATATTACCATCCAAAGGTTATGCCATCATGACAAAAAGATAATTTTTTTAATTATGTAGAATAAGGCTGTATATGTTTAATTTTTTTGGTAAATAAATTCCATGAATCCATTCACAATGTCATGCTCTTCCAGAGGTTTTTGTAAGATTATTGGGCAGTTTCTCTGCCTACAAGATATTATCACAGATGCTTGCTTTACTTTTGCAGTTTTCAAAACTGAATTTGACTCAGCGGAGATCACATGCCTCTTCTTCACAGCAAAAATGTTATAACATGAACAGCATTAAGAAAAAGACCTTAATCCTAACTTCTACAAACCTATGAATACAGAATCAACCCCTTCAGTGCTAAGTTTCAAGAAGTTCAGTGAATAGAATCGAAACAATATTTTTCTGATTGTTTGGAGTGGAATAGATCTGCACAAGAAGAAAGTGAAACTAAGTGTGAGGAGGAAGGAGCTGACAGTCTAAGTTTCTTAAAATATATATATTTTGTTTAGCCAAATGAGTTAACAAACATGGATGTTTGTTTAAGCAAATAACATATGCTGGAATGTTATTGTTTCAGTTGAATAAATCTATTTAAATTGTTATTAAGGTAATGATTATTTTTCTCCTTCCTAAGTACAACAGAAAAGTTGTCCAAATACGAATGATTAACCTATTAAACTGGGGATAAAAAACTAATATGAAAAGTTGTTATTCTAAAAATCTTCATCTACTTGTATATTAAAGTTATACCAGCAAGAATTAGTCTTTATGTAGAAAACTAGGATTTAAATCAAGCCTTACTGACTAGTGATTTAAATCAGTTTGATTTAAATCAAATCCACCCTGTCTCTAGCTATTATAACAGGTGTGATTCGAACCAAATGACTAAATCTGCAGTCAAACAGCAATAACTTCCCTTCCGATCAATTTAGATAAGATTCGATCACACCGAGTGAATGGGCCAGAAATATTGTTATCGGCATTTTGCAGATAGGGAAGAAGCTGCCGATAATTGCCACCGAAAAACACAATTTTACCATGTTTAGGGTGCATTTTTCATAGGTCATATGACAACAACAAAAAAAAAAACACAACACGTGTGCATTTCTCATGGGGTGTCAATGCATTCCAGGCCTGATTCACACCAATGCAGTGTTTTTGATGTTTTGTTATGCATTTTGCGGGGTTTTTTTTGGCCAACTTGTTGATGGGCAGATTATAAATGCATCAACAACCCAACGCATGCCTTTCAGGTCTGTGACACCAATGCAGTTTGTGCTTTGTCCATTTTGCATGCACGTTTTTGAATGCTTTTTTGTATTTTTTGGCCAATTTGTTGCTGGGCTGATTAAAAAACCCCAAAATGCATCAAAAACACAACACAAGCATTTTGATGCGTTTTGTGGTGCTTTTTGCAAGGGCACTTTTGACGCACTTTTTGATGAGTTTTGGCCAACTTGTTGCTGGGCAGATTAAAAAACACATAAAACACACCATGTGCATTTTTGATGCGTTTGCAATGCATTTCAGTCCTGGTTCACACCATTGCAATTTGTGTTTTGTCTGTTTTGCTTTTTCACTCGCGTTTTTTAAAAACATTTTTGCCCATTTTTTTGCTGGGCAGACTAAACGCAAAACCTGTGAAAAAGTGTTAAAAATGTGCTACATGTTTTCCGCAGCATCTCCAATGAAGTCTGTTGAACCAAAAATGTAACGTTTTGCATTTATATAAGTCCCAGACCCTTTACAAAAATGCACCAGCTCAAAAACAGAGGCGAATGTGTCCCATAGGAAGCCATGTTAAATGGACTATAGTGTGTTTCTGCAAAAAGCCCTAAAAATGCATTGGTGTGAACCAGGCCTCAATGGGGAAGTGGCAAAAAAAAAAAAAAAAAAAAACAACGCAAAGTAGGATTTTTAACACTTCATGGGAAATGTAAGGGACAAGTGTGAATACATACATTGAATTTAAATGGAAGCATTTTTCTTGTGCCTTTATTTTTTTTTAAAGCACTGCAAAAACTGTTGATTGTAAAAGCAGCCTATTGGCTGAAAGATGCAGATTCATATTCATTTAAATTCATGACATTATTTAAAAAGTCAAATACAATTTTATATATATTATATATATATATATATATTCTTTTTTTTAAATGTCCATTTCAGCCAATTGCATCCTGAATTTTCAGTTTCAGTCCAATAATTTTCATTTTGGTGCACCACTAGACCAATCAGATCATGAAACTACATAGCTGTAACAGGGAAGTAAGCATTAACATACCATCGTATATCTCATCTATGGAAATCCACTTCCCTGTGTGCAGCACATTGATCAAATGTCATTACTTATAGATCAATTGGAAAATACATTGGTCATTTATTGAAGCATGTATGGGCACCATTACTGATTGATGGACAATAGTCTGACAGTAAAAAGAACTAAATATCTGATCCCAAATGTTTACTAACTTGAAAGGCTAAATTCTCTTCTATATATGACATGCTGCCTATAACAGCCTTGGGATGATCGAATAAGAAGAGGAGGGTGTCTGGAAGTGGTGGTGAGAATCAAAGGTTTCCGTGTTCCTAGGGCCAGAAAGGACCCCTTGGTAAATCTCCTGGACTTACAGCTACCCATGACTATGCCCATTACTCAGCGTTGTAACAGACAGCTATTCTCCACAGTCACTATATTATAAATAAAGCGCTGACCGAGCTGCGAGGAGCTCATATGAACTGTCTGCATACCTCCTGCCAGTCTCACCGCAGCAATTGCTGCTCTACACCCGACCTTCTCCCTATGTGATTAGCATGCCCCTCCCAACCTACACAAAAACTCCACCCTCATGCACCTCCTCGTTTTATCGCAGCTCTACGCCCCAACACAGTAATTAGCAAGCCCCGCCCCGCTATACACCCCTCCCTGTACCCGCCCCCTCGTCACTGCTACTCTTCCTTCTGCAGACTGCACCCTCTCAAGCCGTTAGAATACCACTCCCCACACCCGCCCCCTCTAGGCCTCCTCTCTTTGTCTCCAAACCTCGAGCTGCTCGCCCCGCCCTCTCCACTATCGTGCAGTAGCCGAATAAAATGGCGCCAGCTCCGCCCACTTTCCATCTCTTCATTGATGTGCCAGAACCCGAAGTACCCGAACCCTCCGCCCGTCTACCCCGTTTGGTCACCTTCCCGAAGTGTGCCGCCCAATGGATGGGCGTCCAGCCGTAACAGGAGTCTTCCTTGCCGAGCTGTTGAGCGGTGTTCCCGGGCGGGCCTTGCAGTAGGGAGCGGAGGCAGTGAAGGTCCCCATCCCGGCAGGCTCGGTGAAGAGGAAAGCGCAGGTTCAACACCTCCTCACTAGAGAAGCCGGGCTCCGAGCACACTGACATGACTGCAAGCACCCGAACACAGGCACACATACACACACACACCAAGGCTGGGGGTGGAGCTAACCTGTGCCCGCCTCCTCTTGGCTCACTGCCGGGGCGGGAACACACCCAGCATGGCAATGTATACACTCGGCTTCCATTCCTGCCTCTAAAAGATCGGTGTGAACATTATACTGTCACGTGACAACGTGTACACCCTGCACCCGTAATACATTCCCGCATATAGAAGATCGGTGTGTACATTATACTGTCACGTGACAACGTGTACACCCTGCTCCCGTAATACATTCCCGCATATAGAAGATCGGTGTGTGTACATTATACTGTCACGTGACAACGTGTACACCCTGCTCCCGTAATACATAACCGCATATAGAAGATCGGTGTGTGTACATTATACTGTCACGTGACAACGTGTACACCCTGCTCCCGTAATACATAACCGCATATAGAAGATCGGTGTGAACATTATACTGTCACGTGACAACGTGTACACCCTGCTCCCGTAATACATTCCCGCATATAGAAGATCGGTGTGTGTACATTATACTGTCACGTGACAACGTGTACACCCTGCTCCCGTAATACATTCCCGCATATAGAAGATCGGTGTGAACATTATACTGTCACGTGACAACGTGTACACCCTGCTCCCGTAATACATTCCCGCATATAGAAGATCGGTGTGTGTACATTATACTGTCACGTGACAACGTGTACACCCTGCTCCCGTAATACATTCCCGCATATAGAAGATCGGTGTGTGTACATTATACTGTCACGTGACAACGTGTACACCCTGCTCCCGTAATACATAACCGCATATAGAAGATCGGTGTGAACATTATACTGTCACGTGACAACGTGTACACCCTGCTCCCGTAATACATTCCCGCATATAGAAGATCGGTGTGAACATTATACTGTCACGTGACAACGTGTACACCCTGCTCCCGTAATACATTCCCGCATATAGAAGATCGGTGTGTGTACATTATACTGTCACATGACAACGTGTACACCCTGCTCCCGTAATACATTCCCGCATATAGAAGATCGGTGTGAACATTATACTGTCACGTGACAACGTGTACACCCTGCTCCCGTAATACATTCCCGCATATAGAAGATCGGTGTGTGTACATTATACTGTCACGTGACAACGTGTACACCCTGCTCCCGTAATACATTCCCGCATATAGAAGATCGGTGTGTGTACATTATACTGTCACGTGACAACGTGTACACCCTGCTCCCGTAATACATTCCCGCATATAGAAGATCGGTGTGTGAACATTATACTGTCACGTGACAACGTGTACACCCTGCACCCGTAATACATTCCCGCATATAGAAGATCGGTGTGTGTACATTATACTGTCACGTGACAACGTGTACACCCTGCTCCCGTAATACATTCCCGCATATAGAAGATCGGTGTGTGTACATTATACTGTCACGTGACAACGTGTACACCCTGCTCCCGTAATACATTCCCGCATATAGAAGATCGGTGTGTGTACATTATACTGTCACGTGACAACGTGTACACCCTGCTCCCGTAATACATTCCCGCATATAGAAGATCGGTGTGTGTACATTATACTGTCACGTGACAACGTGTACACCCTGCTCCCGTAATACATAACCGCATATAGAAGATCGGTGTGTGTACATTATACTGTCACGTGACAACGTGTACACCCTGCTCCCGTAATACATTCCCGCATATAGAAGATCGGTGTGAACATTATACTGTCACGTGACAACGTGTACACCCTGCTCCCGTAATACATTCCCGCATATAGAAGATCGGTGTGTGTACATTATACTGTCACGTGACAACGTGTACACCCTGCTCCCGTAATACATTCCCGCATATAGAAGATCGGTGTGAACATTATACTGTCACATGACAACGTGTACACCCTGCTCCCGTAATACATTCCCGCATATAGAAGATCGGTGTGGACATTATACTGTGTCACGTGACAACGTGTACACCCTGCTCCCGTAATACATTCCCGCATATAGAAGATCGGTGTGGACATTATACTGTCACGTGACAACGTGTACACCCTGCTCCCGTAATACATTCCCGCATATAGAAGATCGGTGTGGACATTATACTGTCACGTGACAACGTATACACCCTACACCCATAATACATTCCCGCATATAGAAGATCGCTGTGTGTACATTATACTGTCCCATAATACATTCCCGCATATAGAAGATTGGTGTGTGTACATTATATTGTCACGTGACGTATACACCCTGCTCCCATAATACATTCCCGCATATAGAAGATCGGGGTGTGTACATTATATTGTCACATGACAACGTATACACCCTGCTCCCATAATACATTCCCACCTATAGAAGATTGGTGTGTGTACATTATATTGTCACATGACAATGTATACACCCTGCTCCCATAATACATTCCCGCATGTAGAAGATCGGGGTGTGTGCATTATATTGTCACGTGACAACGTGTACACCCTGCTCCCATAATACATTCCCGCCTACAGAAGATCGCTGTGTACAGTATGCAGTCACATGGCAATGTATACACTCTACATCCACAATACATTCCCGCCTAATAAAAGATCAGTGTGTGTACATTATATGGTCACATGTCAATCTGTGTCCATTCCTGCCTATAGAAGATTGGGGTATGTACATTATAATGTCACATGGCAATGCATACACTCTACTTCCATAATACATTCCTGCCTATAGAAGATCAGTGATCAGTGTGTGTACATTATAGGGTCACCTGGCAATGTATACACTCTACGTCCACTGTCCCTATGGAAGATGAGTGTGTACATTATGTTGTCACCTGGCAATGTATACTCTACGTCCACTGTCCCTATAGAAGATGAGTGCTTGTACATTATAGGGTCACCTGGCAATGTATACACTCTACGTCCACTGTCCCTATAGAAGATGAGTGCGTGTACATTATGTTGTCACATGGCAATGTATACACTCTACGTCCACTGTCCCTATGGCAGATGAGTGCGTGTACATTATGAGGTCACCTGGCAATGTATACACTCTACGTCCACTGTCCCTATAGAAGATGAGTGCGTGTACATTATGTTGTCACCTGGCAATGTATACAATCTACATCCACTGTCCCTATGGAAGATGAGTGCGTGTACATTATGAGGTCACCTGGCAATGTATACACTCTACGTCCACTGTCCCTATAGAAGATGAGTGCGTGTACATTATGTTGTCACCTGGCAATGTATACAATCTACATCCACTGTCCCTATGGAAGATGAGTGCGTGTACATTATGTTGTCACCTGGCAATGTATACACTCTACATCCACTGTCCCTATAGAAGATGAGTGCGTGTACATTATGAGGTCACCTGGCAATGTATACACTCTATGTCCACTGTCCCTATAGAAGATGAGTGCGTGTACATTATGTTGTCACCTGGCAATGTATACAATCTACATCCACTGTCCCTATGGAAGATGAGTGCGTGTACATTATGAGGTCACCTGGCAATGTATACACTCTACGTCCACTGTCCCTATAGAAGATGAGTGCGTGTACATTATGTTGTCACCTGGCAATGTATACAATCTACATCCACTGTCCCTATGGAAGATGAGTGCGTGTACATTATGTTGTCACCTGGCAATGTATACACTCTACATCCACTGTCCCTATAGAAGATGAGTGCGTGTACATTATGAGGTCACCTGGCAATGTATACACTCTACGTCCACTGTCCCTATAGAAGATGAGTGCGTGTACATTATGTTGTCACCTGGCAATGTATACACTCTACGTCCACTGTCCCTATGGAAGATGAGTGCGTGTACATTATGTTGTCACCTGGCAATGTATACACTCTACGTCCACTGTCCCTATGGAAGATGAGTGCGTGTACATTATAGGGTCACCTGGCAATGTATACACTCTACGTCCACTGTCCCTATGGAAGATGAGTGCGTGTACATTATGTTGTCACCTGGCAATGTATACACTCTACATCCACTGTCCCTATAGAAGATGAGTGCGTGTACATTATGAGGTCACCTGGCAATGTATACACTCTACGTCCACTGTCCCTATAGAAGATGAGTGCGTGTACATTATGTTGTCACCTGGCAATGTATACACTCTACGTCCACTGTCCCTATGGAAGATGAGTGCGTGTACATTATGTTGTCACCTGGCAATGTATACACTCTACGTCCACTGTCCCTATGGAAGATGAGTGCGTGTACATTATAGGGTCACCTGGCAATGTATACACTCTACGTCCACTGTCCCTATGGAAGATGAGTGCGTGTACATTATGTTGTCACCTGGCAATGTATACACTCTACATCCACTGTCCCTATAGAAGATGAGTGCGTGTACATTATGAGGTCACCTGGCAATGTATACACTCTACGTCCACTGTCCCTATAGAAGATGAGTGCGTGTACATTATGTTGTCACCTGGCAATGTATACAATCTACATCCACTGTCCCTATGGAAGATGAGTGCGTGTACATTATGAGGTCACCTGGCAATGTATACAATCTACATCCACTGTCCCTATGGAAGATGAGTGCGTGTACATTATGTTGTCACCTGGCAATGTATACAATCTACATCCACTGTCCCTATGGAAGATGAGTGCGTGTACATTATGAGGTCACCTGGCAATGTATACACTCTACGTCCACTGTCCCTATAGAAGATGAGTGCGTGTACATTATGTTGTCACCTGGCAATGTATACAATCTACATCCACTGTCCCTATGGAAGATGAGTGCGTGTACATTATAGGGTCACCTGGCAATGTATACACTCTACGTCCACTGTCCCTATGGAAGATGAGTGCGTGTACATTATGTTGTCACCTGGCAATGTATACACTCTACGTCCACTGTCCCTATGGAAGATGAGTGCGTGTACATTATAGGGTCACCTGGCAATGTATACACTCTACGTCCACTGTCCCTATGGAAGATGAG